AGTGTTTAAAATCCATCCCATCAGCTTTCTATACAAGAAACCTCTGGAGTTTTAGATGTGATGACCATGTTTCACCCTAGTATCTGGTTTTTGATTGGTTGAAGGCATCAACTAGCAGGTCTGGAATAGAGGATTATGGGATATGGCCTACGTATATCTAAATATATCTGTATAGTAAAGTGCTTCAGCTCATACAGATCAACAAATGAAACGTCACACTAAAAATATTTGACTTGCACACTCATCTATAGTCCCAGGTTGAAATATCCCGCACTAAAAGTGTACGTCACTAATGCTTTCTTGCACGCGTGCTATAGCTGGATATATTCAGTGTATTTGACAGTAAGAAGTGTCCTTTCGGGTGAAGAGTCCATAGCTCTGCTCAGATTCACTTTAACCCCTCAGATGGAAACAGTTGTTCATTCTTAGCTTTGGTTTAAAGCCGTGTTTCTGTGTGTTAAAAATCGTTACTGTTTCTAAGTAGGTCACTGCCTTACTGATCAGACGTGTACAGCTGGTCGAGGATGGCGTTGCATGTGTTTGTTGTGGTGTTTTGTGAGGAAAGCGCCATCATTTTGTTCCATCAGATGTTTGGTCGCTGGAAACTACACAAGCGGTACAGCGCTGGCATATCTTCGTCATCCAAAATGTAAAAAATGTAGCCGATTAATTTAGCACTATAATGGCCTTTACCACGTAAAGCAGGAATTGTTTGTCTTTTATTCTCCAAAAATTTTTTTTTCTTTTTTTTTTGCTGTCAGGCCAGAGTAAGCAAGAACAATCACTGGGCTTCATTCATAAAAAACTCGAGCAGAGCGAATTAGTGTAAATTACTTGTAAAGGCATTTGAATTTTGTCCCTTTGAAATAAATGAAACATTCATAAATTATATTGAATGCACAATGCAAACAACATTTGTAAATGTACGTAAATTGATGCACTGAATTGAAAATTATCAGTCAAGAAGTCATGTAAACTGTTGAATTAATCATGTAGTTTTTAAATGTAATTCAGTCATCAATTTACTGTTTTACAAATGTTTTTATGCATTGTGTGTTAAATTAAAAGCAAACATTCAGTATGCATTAAATTGTTGCACTGAATAAAAAATGCATATGAAATTGTATTTACATAAATTGATACATTTGAATTTAGAAAAAACATTCTTATAAATAATAGCATTAAATTAAAATATCTTAATGTTTGCATATGTTTATGTACATTTATGCACTGAATTAAAATTCAAGAAATCATCATGTAATTAAATGAATCATTATGTAAGTTATTGAATTTAATTCAGTGCATCAATTTGCATGTTTTGCATTAAAATAAAACATTCAGCATTGTTGCATTGAAAAAAATCTGTGAAATTGTATTTACAAAAATTGATGTTTGAATTTAGTTAAACCATTCTTGTATAAATCATAGCATTAAATAAAAAAAAAATCCAAGATGTTTACATATATTTTTTTTCTCTGAAAAATTAAAACGTTTTTTTTTTTTTTTTGGAAACATTTTTGCTTGTGTTTTATAAATGAGGCCCTGTTACGTTTATTTTGGAACATGCCGTAAATGTAACATTTCCATTTTTTTTGTTATGTTTCCTTTTTATCAAATGAAGATGGAGAAACTCTGTAAACTTTAGTGTGGAGAAACTCTCAGCCATAACATGATGTTCTAGAATGTAAAAAAATTATTTAAAAAAACTTATTGTAGGCCTGTACATTGAGATAAATATGGAACCTGTTGTTTTAAGGACAGACTTGGCCTTTTCATCCTGATCTTTAATCACATGACTGAAAGAGTGTGGACGCCTGCATTTAATCAGATGTAGTTGAGCTTCTTAACCTGTAAATAATTGCATATCACATTACAATATCAGAAGTTTTAACGTCAAATCGTTTGCAGTGACCGTTCTCGTTTGTTTATAGTCATGTATCGCTCTGCTTTTGTTTGACCTGTCACCTGTAATTTGTTTCTATTCTATATTTGTGATTTTTAACAGTTGCTTTTGTACTAAATAAACTAGCTTTAAATTAAGCCTGTTCAGTTAAAAAAAAAATACATTCTGAAAGGCTTCAGTATTAATTTTCAGATGTTTAAAGAGCTTTAACGTGATTTAAATGGGGCAGAATTTAGAAAGCAACATTTGAACCAGTAGAAATGAGAGATTTTAAATCAGTGATGCAGCATTAAAATATGTTTTAAAATTGGACACGTTGATTTAAAACATCAGTTCATCTCTGCTATGAAGCGCACTTTTGTCATTTGAATCTGAATGTGAACGAATACACATGACCTCTGTTTAACTGTGAAAATAACTGGCTTCGCTTCACTGTGTTTCTAATTAACTATGTTAATTAATGCACAAACTAACACTGTTTCCACTTTCATCCTGCATTTTGCAAAAGGAGTGAATCTTTACTTGTTCTCTTGCTGGAGCGTTTCTATTTCTGTAGGCTTCTGTCTGTGACATGCAGTTCTTACTTGATGTCCACTCATTTAAAAGTTGTTTTAAAACTTATTGTCATGAAACCAGTATTGTGTAATATTATGTAATAAAAATAAAGTTATGGAAAATCTGAGCGTATTTAGTCTTTTCATGCACATTGTCCAAAGTGCGACAAACCTTGGAACCGCAGTCATAACTGAAAGAAATGTGCCAAGAAACCTCTTCCAAAATAAAGCACTGATGACTTTTATTATGTAATGAACAAAAGGAAAATGGCCCAAATTGAAATGTTGCATTAGTATCTGTTCATCAGTGGTTAAATGTATGTATTAAAAAGTCATTTAAAAAAGAAAATAGAAAATGTAATAATTATAGAAAAATAATAATGCAAAAAATGTTTGTATTAAACACTCTTAAAAGAATAGTTCACCCAAAAGTGAAACTTTACTAACCAGGCCATCCAATATGTAGATGAGTTTGTTTCTTCACGGGAACAGATTTGGAGAAATGTAGCATTGCATCACTTGCTCACCAATGGATCCTCTGAAGTGAATGGGTGCCGTCAGAATGAGAGTCCCAACAGCTGATAAAAACATCACGTTAATCCACATGACTCCAGTCCATCAATGAATGCCTTATGATGTGAAAAGCTGTGTTTGCAATAAAAAAACAATTAACCAAGACATGTTTAACTTCAAACCATCGAGTCCTCTATCCATAATCTTGCTTTCTTGAGTGAAACAGTTGTCTCGGCTGAATCAGGAGAGAAATCTGCACAGATCAAGCACGGTTTACAAGAGAAAATAGTCCAAAGCAGATCTCAACAAATATGTGGGTGGATTCTGATGTGTGAGGACAATGGATGGACCTTTTCACTGTAATTATTTTTTTTTTAATTATTGATTATGGACCGGAAGCCAGTTAAAGCATGTTAATGATGGATTTGTTTCTTACAAACATGCAGCTTTTTTCCTTCACAAGATATTAATTGATGGACTGGAGTTGTGTTACTCACTTGTGGATTATTGTGATGTTTTTATCGCCTGTTTTGACTCTCATTCTGACGGCACCCATTCACTGCACAGGATCCACTGGAGAGCAACTGATGTAATGACAAATGTCTCCAAATCTTTTCCCATCAAGATACGAACTCATCTACATCTCGGATGGCCAGAGGATGAGTACATTTCAGGCAATTTTTTATTTTGGGGTGAACTATTCCTTTAAAAATAGCACGTTTAAATATATCAAAAAGCTGCCTGCAGATGTGCGTATTTACAGTAAGCGCTAGAAGAGCAATGCAGCTGAACTGAAAAGCGATGAAGTGTCTGTGTGAAACCTCAAATGCTTGTGACATGATTGTGAAAGTAGTTTAACTTGCAGCACTGGAGAGACGAGTGTTTCGGTCAGATCCATGCATGCAAAATTCAAGTTCTAAGAATGTGGGCTTTGAGAATAATTATTTGAGTGTGTTTGTGTGAGAAATGTGTAGTAGCTTTAACTTGCAATATAATTTATGTTTATGAAAAGAAAAGACCTTTTAATGCTGCTTTTTCCATGTGCCAATTTTGCAGTGACTGAGCTGTCATAATTCTGTCCTTCCAACCTTCTGTTTGGCTTCAGAAAAGTTATGTTTCGATCCCAAATGCTTGTGTTATAAGACAGCCATTGCTCTGTGATCTGGTTGAAAAATCACAGGTTGTTGGCTTGTATGATCTGCTGTAGGATGCTGTCTACATCATTCGTGTCGTAGCTGATTCCCTGCATATCCAGGTTCGGTAGGATGGAAGACAATAATGCAACCACATTCTGACGGACAGACCGCAACCTCTCCAGCGTCACACTGCTGTCAGGAAGGAACGACATGTTCATATTAGTGTGTGTGTAAATATATATATATATACACACACACACATTTGACAGTTTTTTTTAATCAAATAAATGGCTAAATATATATATTTAAAACACAGCAGCATTAAAAATACTGTCAAATTTGTGAAACATTATTACAATAAAAAAACAAAAACGTTCACTACTTGAATACATTTTAAAATGTATTCAAGTAGTGAACGTTTTTGTTTTTTTATTGTAATAATGTTTCACAAATTTGACAGTATTTTTAATGCTGCTGTGTTTTAAATATATATATTTAAAACACAGCAGCATTAAAAATACTGTCAAATTTGTGAAACATTATTACAATAAAAAAACAAAAACGTTCACTACTTGAATATATTTTAAAATGTAATTTATTCCTGTGATCAATTTACTCCAAAAAATTAATCCAGTCTTCAGTGTCACATGATCCTTCAAAAATCATTCTAATATTTAATATTCTTGATTTGCTGCTCAAGAAAGATTTCTGGTTATTATCAGTTTAAAACTAATATTTTTTGGAAAATGTGATGCATATGAAAAGAAAAGCATTAATTTGAAATGAAAATGTCTTGCAATATTATACATGTCATTACTGTCACTTTTGATCAATTTAATGTCTTCTTGCTGAAAAAAATGTATCAATTGTCCTTCAAAAAAAACTTTTAAATCCATGTATTACATATAAAAGATATATAGATGTATAAAACCAAATATTTAATAAGAAAAAAGAAAAATGACAATAAAAAATTATAATAAAAATGTAAATGAATATGACTTTTTAGCTGTTTTGTCCAACTGTTAAAAGACACAACTTTCACTTTTGATCAATTTAATGCATACTTTCTGAATAAAAGTATTAATTTCTTTAAAAAGCATATATTTATATATTGATATAAACTGCATATATAATGTATATATAAATAGATATATATATAAAAATATATAGATGTTTTAAAAATTCAATTTAGTTGGAAAATGGCAAATAATAAAAAAAAAAATTCAAATAAGATATGACTAGTATCTTAGCTATTTTGTGCAGCTGTACTCAGTCATACACACCTATTGTAAGTGTGGTTGGGTGTGTTGGTGCTCTGGTCTCTCCTGTCTTCAGTGTCTCTCTCTGTCTCTCTCACTCCGTTCAACAGTTGGTCTCTCTCTGTTCTCAGCTCGTTCAGATCAGTTAGCAGGCTCTGGTTCTCACCCTGGAGTTTGGCTAATGTCTTGCTCCAGTACAGCTCATCTCTCGGACTTGTTTCTGCCTCCTGCTGGATGGGGGATGAACTGGATGGAAGCCTGTTGGCCTGTTCCTCTGATTTCTACAGATTGAAGGTATTTCAAATGATTAGTTTATTAAATGTTGTGTGCAATTGATTAATTATGGTGTCACTCTGATTAAAAACTACACAAACAATTTACCAAACAAATCAGGATTCTCGCATGACAAATTGATAACTCAAATTTATTAACAAATGAATAGTGAGTAACAAATTATACAATTACTATATCTAAGCGATATGCACTATAGATCAAATCTCAACTGCTTGATTGTTATGATGTCAAAAATGTAAACTATATTATTGCCCAAGCAATATATTAAAAGATGGATATATATAGTACATCCTACTTGCATATCTGCATACAAATAATCAGCAATACATATTATACTATACAATATATATATACAAATTATATCTATATTATCGCAAAGCTCTATTTATAAAGTTGAATATATCTCACTATTGGATATATACAGTATATATATACAGTGGGGCAAAAAAGTATTTAGTCAGCCACCAATTGTGCAAGTTCTCCCACTTAAAAAGATGAGAGAGGCCTGTAATTTTCATCATAGGTATACCTCAACTATGAGAGACAAAATGAGAAAAAAAAAATCCAGAAAATCACATTGTAGGATTGTTAAAGAATTAATTGGTAAATTCCTCGGGAAAATAAGTATTTGGTCACCTACAAACAAGCAAGATTTCTGGCTCTCACAGACCTGTAACAACTTCTTTAAGAGGCTCCTCTGTCCTCCACTCATTACCTGTATTAATGGCATCTGTTTGAACTCATTATCAGTATAAAAGACACCTGTCCAAAACCTCAAACAGTCACACTCCAAACTCCACCATGGCCAAGACCAAAGAGCTATCAAAGGACACCAGAAACAAAATTGTAGACCTGCACCAGGCTGGGAAGACTGAATCTGCAATAAAATATATAATACATTTTATAAATAAAAATGAGATATACACTTGTTATGGCTTAAAGGGGTCATATGGCGTTGCTAAAAATAACATTATTTTGTGTATTTGGTGTAATGCAATGTGTTTATGTGGTTTAAGGTTCAAAAAACACATTATTTTCCACATACTGTACATTATTGTTTCTCCTCTATGCCCCACCTTTCTGAAACGCGTCAATTTTTACAAAGCTCATCGGTCTGAAAAAGCGAGGTGTGCTGTGATTGGCCAGCTATCCAGTGTGTTATGATTGGCCGAATACCTCAAGCGTGTGACGGTAATGTTATGCCCCTCACCATACTGTGATGATGCCCTGTCAGGCGATGATTCAAAAACATTTTAAAAAACATTATAAACGAGGCATTCGTTGCATCCAGTGGGGACATAATTACTGATTATAATGACTTATACTGTCTTTTTACGCTTTGCATATCGCGCTATGTAAACATAAAACCATGTCTGCATTTGTGATTGGAGAAACGACAAACAACAAGCGCTACTTTACACTGCTCAAAACTCGCGTTTGAATCATCAGTGACAAATTCTTTAAATATAAAAAAACTTACAAGCTGTGAGTCAGAAGCGCCAGACTGTCTTTGCAAAGTTGGAACTGCCCGACTTTATAGAAACAGACTCTCTCCCAGGAAACAGTCCTCATCCTCTGCTAAATGTGCTGCACACATCTGAATATTTGGGTTGAACTGTTCTGGAACAGTGTTGTAAATACAACTTAACCACTGATTTCTAGTCGTGTCCTCTTTTGGAAGACCAAAGAAAGTAGTTTCGCTTTCACAATGAAACACACAGCGTCTCCACAACATGGCGGCGGTGGCAACAACAATACTATAGCGAGAATCAAAGTTACGCCTACTTTCTTTGCGTAAACATTTGGGCGGCGTTTTTTTTTTCTTCCCACATCGTAACATAGACATGTGGGGGCATGTTAGAACGAGCCGTTTTAGGTAGGCGTGGCTGACTCTTAACTTTTATAAAGAATATCTCTTTGGATTTGAGACTTTAGTCTTTGCAACTTTACAGATCTTCTTTATGCACCAAGAGCTTGTAACACTCCAAAGAGAAAGGAAAAATTTAAATCGCATCATATGACCCCTTTAAAGCAAGGATTTAGAAGAAACGAATTCTGATTCTATCACGTTATTTGCAAAAACGCAAATTTGCTTATTATAGTGCCACCTTGTAGATGATCTTCAGAAGGCGCACATACTAATTTTCACAAGATGTACAAATACATACATTTTCATTACAGTCAGCCACTTGGATTTGGCATTAGCCACTGAAATTTGATTGGCTGCTGGCATCCTTACCTGACAAACAGAAAGTTCCTCCCTCCTAGACTCATTTGACATTGGGTTCAATCTTTCCGCATTTTGGTCACATGACACTGAATCACCCGTGGTGACATCAGAAGGCCCACCCCCTTCTGCCTCCGTCACCATGGCAACATCTGGTTCACGGATGCCCAGGATTCTTTTCAGCCGCTTGGCTTCCCGCTCCAGCTGAGCAAGTCTCTGAGCAAGCGCCACGCGGTCCGAACCGTCTGCCGGTAACGGCGACACGGGCTGAAATCCCGGCCTGCTGAGAGGAGTGACGACCACTGTCTGAGTCATGGTTGTGGAGGCGTGTGGTGAGAGCGGGTGAGAGGGGATCCTGGGTTGATCTTTGGGCATCTGCGGCCCCTGAGATGTCTGGGGCTCAACAGGGCCCTCGAGTACAGCGGCTTCTGGCTGAATAATGTCCTCCTGAGCCACCGTATCCACCACTGGTGATGTGCCGCTGTTTGTCTCTGATCCTTCATTCGCTTTGTCCGTTGTTTCTGTCTCTCCCTCAGATGGGACGTCTGGAGCTTCAGCATGGTTTGGGGACTTGTTGCCCTTTTGAATGTCTGAACATGTTTCTTTCCTTCTTTTTCTAAAAAAAAAAGTGAGCAAAGTTAGTTAAACCTGGGGTTTTTAAACCTGCTGATTTCTTATGCGGGTCCCACTAAAGTGTAAAGGCAGCTTTAAATTTTTTTATGTATAAAGACCCAGTTATATTGTAAAAAAACAATCTTCAAAATTTGTGTAAATATTATCTGCAAATTATTTACTTTTAATAAGTTATTCATTCAAGTTAATTCATTAATTTGATTTAATTGTTATATTTTTTTTCTTTACTTTTCTTTTTTTTTTTTTTTTAAATGACATTAAAATAGTACAAATTTGTCAAATTTGGTATAACCTCTGTATTATATTTTCTATACAATTCATATAAAAATATATATTAAAAGCTTCCTGAATAATAACATTTCTGGTTTAAAGTTACAGTTGAAGGTCACTCTATCACCCACTTAAATACTGTAGTTTATTGTTTGTCACTACCACAGTAACACAACAATGTTTGTTAAACATGTTAAATGCACTGCAATGCATCAACCAAGGATTTGCATCTGCATTTGTGTACTTGCTTCCTTCCTAATGACGAGCGACTGCCAAAGTGATTCTTTAATGTGGGTAAATGGCCGAGTTGTGTATCTGTCAGACCTCGGGGAGGGTGAAGACTCCTCTTCTTCTGTGACAACGATGCTGACTCCATCCTCATCTGTATCCTGTGTATCTGTCGTCATGGTAACGGTGACCTCATCCTGTTTGCTCTGTGATGCAGGTTCAGATTGTCCTCGATAGAGAGGACGCACTGGGCTTTTACTCATCTACAACACACACACACACACACACACACGCTTATTATAGTCTGAAGTGAGATCAATGTGCCAAAACCAAAATGAGAAGTGATATTTCACATTAATGTATGTAATTTCTATAAATGTCTCTGTATGGCCACATAACTGCAGCCATTAGAACCAATTACTAAAATATAGTTTCTTATATAAAATAATAATTTTTCTTTTCCATAAAACAGAGCGATTTTTTTCATAGCTGCGTTAACTATAAATTATCTACTAAGGACAGCCTGACTGTAGTTTAAGAATTATTGTGTCGCTTGGCAAACTACAGTATCGAAATACTGACACACACACCAACAATTTATGTTTGCATAGGCAAAGCTCTCACATTCATACTCGTACGCATTATTTGTCATGTCTGCCACATGCAAAAGAAGACGGCCGCATGCAGACCTACAGAAAACATTTATACAGACCAAACACACACAACTGAGTCAACAAGCCCACAGCGAGAGTCAGAAACCCAAGTTTCTGTCCTGAGAAACGAGTTCTGACACACAAACAGAGGTGAATACCTTCAGAGATCTTCCTCTTTTCTTGATGGAGGCATGTTCCCTGCGCACAACAAAACACACATTAACACCACATGCATTCATACTCGAATTTCAGGTATCTGAAAGTGGAGCCACTCTATTAGTGTAAAGTTTGTGTTTACAAGTTGTAATAAAGATTACTGGAGTTAATTTTACAAGAATTTTCCTGCTTTAAAAGTTGATTTTTAATTCAATGTTTTACTTGCCGTTTTTTTGCAATAATTTGTGAAATTTACAATGTTTTTTGCGGTGCAGAGACAATTTTACTGTCTTAACTGTTTTTTGAGTATTTTTTCATAGCTGGGTGTTGTGACTTCAGCATTTTCCTCCAGTTCCTCTGGTAACAAACAGCTCCTTCAGAACAAAAGCACAAGAATAAATAAGACGTGCTTTGAAATTTAATACATAGTGTGCGGTTGACAGCATACTATGCAATATACACATTTCAGGCATCCAGTTATCTTTTCCCTTATGGTTATTGTCTGTTTTTAAGCCAGTTATGTGTAAAGGCCTTAATTCTGTGCAGTCTTATTAAAAAAGTAAAAAAAATAAAAATGTGTGTTTGGAATGGAATTCTAGTGTACTGCATTACTGCATACTGTGTACTATGCTGTCACATGATCTAATGAAGCTGCATGTTAATACAGTTAAATTTTTTTATGTATAAAGACCCAGTTATATTGTAAAAAAACAATCTTCAAAATTTGTGTAAATATTATCTGCAAATTATTTACTTTTAATAAGTTATTCATTCAAGTTAATTCATTAATTTGATTTAATTGTTATATTTTTTTTCTTTACTTTTCTTTTTTTTTTTTTTTTAAATGACATTAAAATAGTACAAATTTGTCAAATTTGGTATAACCTCTGTATTATATTTTCTATACAATTCATATAAAAATATATATTAAAAGCTTCCTGAATAATAACATTTCTGGTTTAAAGTTACAGTTGAAGGTCACTCTATCACCCACTTAAATACTGTAGTTTATTGTTTGTCACTACCACAGTAACACAACAATGTTTGTTAAACATGTTAAATGCACTGCAATGCATCAACCAAGGATTTGCATCTGCATTTGTGTACTTGCTTCCTTCCTAATGACGAGCGACTGCCAAAGTGATTCTTTAATGTGGGTAAATGGCCGAGTTGTGTATCTGTCAGACCTCGGGGAGGGTGAAGACTCCTCTTCTTCTGTGACAACGATGCTGACTCCATCCTCATCTGTATCCTGTGTATCTGTCGTCATGGTAACGGTGACCTCATCCTGTTTGCTCTGTGATGCAGGTTCAGATTGTCCTCGATAGAGAGGACGCACTGGGCTTTTACTCATCTACAACACACACACACACACACACGCTTATTATAGTCTGAAGTGAGATCAATGTGCCAAAACCAAAATGAGAAGTGATATTTCACATTAATGTATGTAATTTCTATAAATGTCTCTGTATGGCCACATAACTGCAGCCATTAGAACCAATTACTAAAATATAGTTTCTTATATAAAATAATAATTTTTCTTTTCCATAAAACAGAGCGATTTTTTTCATAGCTGCGTTAACTATAAATTATCTACTAAGGACAGCCTGACTGTAGTTTAAGAATTATTGTGTCGCTTGGCAAACTACAGTATCGAAATACTGACACACACACCAACAATTTATGTTTGCATAGGCAAAGCTCTCACATTCATACTCGTACGCATTATTTGTCATGTCTGCCACATGCAAAAGAAGACGGCCGCATGCAGACCTACAGAAAACATTTATACAGACCAAACACACACAACTGAGTCAACAAGCCCACAGCGAGAGTCAGAAACCCAAGTTTCTGTCCTGAGAAACGAGTTCTGACACACAAACAGAGGTGAATACCTTCAGAGATCTTCCTCTTTTCTTGATGGAGGCATGTTCCCTGCGCACAACAAAACACACATTAACACCACATGCATTCATACTCGAATTTCAGGTATCTGAAAGTGGAGCCACTCTATTAGTGTAAAGTTTGTGTTTACAAGTTGTAATAAAGATTACTGGAGTTAATTTTACAAGAATTTTCCTGCTTTAAAAGTTGATTTTTAATTCAATGTTTTACTTGCCGTTTTTTTGCAATAATTTGTGAAATTTACAATGTTTTTTGCGGTGCAGAGACAATTTTACTGTCTTAACTGTTTTTTGAGTATTTTTTCATAGCTGGGTGTTGTGACTTCAGCATTTTCCTCCAGTTCCTCTGGTAACAAACAGCTCCTTCAGAACAAAAGCACAAGAATAAATAAGACGTGCTTTGAAATTTAATACATAGTGTGCGGTTGACAGCATACTATGCAATATACACATTTCAGGCATCCAGTTATCTTTTCCCTTATGGTTATTGTCTGTTTTTAAGCCAGTTATGTGTAAAGGCCTTAATTCTGTGCAGTCTTATTAAAAAAGTAAAAAAAATAAAAATGTGTGTTTGGAATGGAATTCTAGTGTACTGCATTACTGCATACTGTGTACTATGCTGTCACATGATCTAATGAAGCTGCATGTTAATACAGCAAGCAAATCCAGTAGCATTTTCTAATGCTTTTAATTTTTTTATGCCGCATTCTGGCAAATCAGGTCATCTGGATACTTCATTCACACAGAAAACTTGCTTAATGCACACAGTATACATACTGTAGTGCATATATAATATGTGTAGCATACTAGTACTGCATTCTGAACATACCCGTTTAATTTAAGGTAATCAAACAGGCATAGACTCACTGTAAGCGTTTTATTGGGTGCATGCTGCATTTGAACCGATCAGGAACGCTTCCAGCAAACAGGTTAGTGCAGATTCCTCTCCATTTCAAACACTCTTCACACTGAATCCACATCACATCCCTTCGGACACAAGAAAGCCATTAATACAACTTGTTGTGTGTGGAGTTTTTATATATATTTTGTAGAGCTGTCAAATCTGTCATCCAAAATAAAAGTTTGTGTTCTTATGCTGTCAAACCGATTAATCACGATTAATCACATCCAAAATAAAAGTTTGTATTCTAATGCTGTCAAACCGATTAATTGCATCCGAAATAAAAGTTTGTGTTCTTATGCTGTCAAACCGATTAATCACGATTAATCACATCCAAAATAAAAGTTTGTATTCTAATGCTGTCAAACCGATTAATTGCATCCGAAATAAAAGTTTGTGTTCTTATGCTGTCAAACCGATTAATCACGATTAATCACATCCAAAATAAAAGTTTGTATTCTAATGCTGTCAAACCGATTAATTGCATCCGAAATAAAAGTTTGTGTTCTATGTGTGTGTATTCATATATACATATAAATGTACACACACATATATTATGTAAACGCAAACTTATAATTTGGATGCGTTAATCACGATGAATTGATTTGATAGCACACAATTTTTTTTTTATTCTAATTGTCTATAATCTGTTATACTTTTGAGAATAATTCTCATTATTGCCTAGGTTTATTCTCATTACAGTAGTACAGTAATATGTTTTATTGTATCACAGTTAAAAAAAAGTATTTAAATCAGCATAAAACTTGAAACTGAAATTATGCATACATTAAACCTTAAATATGAATATATTATTGGGTAACACTTTATTTTAAGGACCAATTCTCACTCTTAACTATCACGCATATTACTAGCATATTAGCTGTTTATTAGTAGCCTGCTTATAAATGTCATAAGGTGCGTCCCAAATCGTGTACTCATGCACCATTCTGTGATGTTTTCTAGTATAAATAGTGCGAGTAGTGCGTTCACACTGAAAATTCCAACAAGAAAAAGTGCACTTTAAATACCTGGATGATGCACTTAAATAACCGAAAAAATGAAGTGTGGAATGTTGGACACTTCATGCACTCAGCTGTCGCAGCTTTAATTACGTACTGAAGGGGGAGTGACAGAATAACATTATATAATTCATACACTACATCGTTGAGTACATAGTGTATAAGTGTATAGTGCGTCATTTGGGACACAGCTTTATTCTGCATGATCATATTCTAGATCCCTTAATCCACCCCAAACAACATAACAACTACCTTACTAACTATTAATAAAAAACACATTAGGAGTTATTATTGGGGCAAAATTCAGTTAATAGTTAGTTAATCACGATTAATCACATCCAAAATAAAAGTTTGTATTCTAATGCTGTCAAACCGATTAATTGCATCCGAAATAAAAGTTTGTGTTCTTATGCTGTCAAACCGATGAATTGCATCAAAAATAAAAGTTTGTGTTCTTATGCTGTCAAACCGATTAATCCCATCCAAAATAAAAGTTTGTGTTCTAATCCTGTCAAACCGATTAATTGCATCCAAAATAAAAGTTTGGGTTCCTTTGCTGTCAAACCGATTAATTGCATCCAAAATAAAAGTTTGGGTTCCTTTGCTGTCAAACCGATTCATTGCAATTAATCGCATCCAAAATAAAAGTTTGTGTTCTAATGCTGTCAAACCGATTAATTGCATCCAAAATAAAAGTTTGTGTTCTAATTCTGTCAAACCGATTAATTGCATCCAAAATAAAAGTTTGTGTTCTAATTCTGTCAAACCGATTAATTGCATCCAAAATAAAAGTTTGTGTTCTAATTCTGTCAAACCGATTAATTGCATCCAAAATAAAAGTTTGTGTTCTAATCCTGTCAAACTGATTAATTGCATCCGAAATAAAAGTTTGTGTTCTAATGCTGTCAAACTGATTAATTGCATCCAAAATAAAAGTTTGAGTTCCTTTGCTGTCAAACCGATTAATTGCATCCAAAATAAAAGTTTGTGTTCTTATGCTGTCAAACCGATTAATTGCATCCAAAATAAAAGTTTGTGTTCTTATGCCATCAAACCGATTAACTGGCATTAATCACACCCACATCCGATTTGACCATGCTGTCAAATCGATTAATCGCAATACACAGTGCACAAACACATATATTATGTAATCACAAACTTTTATTTTGGATGTGCTTAATCGGTTTGACAGCCCTAATATTTTGGGAAGACATTTATGCCCAAGAAATAGCTTGACGTGAGCAGTTTTTGTTCATATGTTGATGTAATAATTCCAGTTGAAACAAGGTTAGGACTAGCCACTAGCCTTGAGTTCAGCTTCAAATCCATGATTTACTACTTGCTATTGCTTGTCAGAGGCAGGTGGTATAGACTGTTGCAGTAAAGATGTACAGTATATTTATAGGTCAAAAACCCAGAAATTAACATTTTAGCTCTTCTAGTTCCATTGTCCTGAAGTCAGTTGGCTTTTTGGTTAAACGCCTGAAAAGGTCAGAGGTTAACACAAGCTTCAGATATTGTATGACATAAAAACACATGATTTTTAAGGGTTTTACTTGAAAACTGTTCGCAAACAAATGGCTAATAGCATTACTACCTTCTATTTTGGCCTTTTCCCCCTATCTTATTAAAAAAATATTTTTAAAATGTTAATATATTTTTTTAAATTATTTAAACATATTTTTTGCCCTCAATATTGTCAATCCAAGAAAATACATTAATAACTTTTGTTGTCTGTAACACGTGAGCAACATTTGAATACAAACAAGTAATGAATAAAGCCCCTACTGTATGACTGGAAATGTATTTTTTTGTCCCTGAAAAACATTTTGAAATATATTTTGGTATATTAAGATTGAAACTAAATACATTTTCACTTTCAAATAAAAATATGTATTTCATTGAGCTTCACCATTAACAACATATATTTAGCATATATATAAAATGTTTTGGCCAGAAAAAATTGCCATCTGGGTGTGTTTATAATCGCACTCTTGTAAACTATTCAAACTTGAACTTTCAGTGAAAGACTGAAAGAGTTGAAGGAATAATAATGCTGGTGGCATTTAATCATGTGACCGTGGTATAGTTCACTTATAGTCTATGTTTAACTTTTTACTTCCACCGATTTTATTTAGGCTTTGAAATTTAAAAAAGCTGTGAAGATTATGATGATGAAAAAAATATGTAAGAATCAAACTTTGTCAACCAATCAAATGAACAGTATCCATGTATTCTGTATCATTACATTTTTGCAAAGCTAATAAAACAAAGCCTCAGTTTTGTTTTCATGGGAACCTTGGTTGTGATCAATCGTGTGTTGCATGTTTTAGTTGTTGCACGGTTTACTCGCAGACATCACAGATATGACCATTGCTACTACTTTAGCCGTGTGATTAACAGTTTCACATTTCTCTGCGCCGCCCACCTGCATTTAAGAGCTCAACTCGACCTCTGCCATCACAAGACGCTTTTTGTCTGTGTGTTTTCTGTTATGAATGTACGTGTGGTCTAACAGACAAATAGTCAGACAATAGTATTTAGTAAGATAGGTTGCACCATCTTTCATTATTTACCCACAAACCCATGGAACTATTCTGGCCATCTGACTAACAGATCACCAACAGAGCAAAGCAGGTACCACAACACTGTTGTGTGAAAAGTTTTGGAGGAAAACAATCATACACTTCTTCTTCCTCCTCTTCCTCTTCACCATCCTCATCCTCTTCCTCTGTTTCCTCAGTATCACCTTCTTGGCTTTTCCTCTCTAAGGCTTGAAACGCTCTCTCTTTTGCTTTCTTTTCCTTCTTTTCACGCCAGTAATCGTTCAGTTTGAGACCAAGAGCAGCTAGTGTGAGTCTATGAGAAAAGCAGCAAAAAAAAAAAAGAAGTTAAAATGGAAATAACACATAAAATCCTATATATATATATGATCAAACGATTGATCGCGATTAATCGCATCCAAAATAAAAGTTTTTGTATACATAATATATGTGTTTACTGTGTATATTTATTTTGTATATATAAATACACACACATGCACGTATATATTTCAGAATTTTTTTTATGTTTATATATTAAATATATTTATATATTATATAATTTATATGAATATAAATATATACATGCAAATACATGTAAATATTTTCAAAATATATGCTGTATGTGTGTGTCTTTATATATACTGTACATAATAAATATACACAGTACACACATATATTATGTATACAAAAACATTTATTTTGGATGCGATTAATCGCGATTAATCGTTTGACAGTACTAATATATATATATATATATATATATATAATTTTATTTTTTATATTTTACTCTTAATATTTTAAATTTGATCACAAAATATTTTATTAAAAATATATAAAATTATTTTTAAAATAATTAAACAAATAATTAAAACATAAAAATGTACTGACATTTCTTTGACTTGTATTGTGAACTCTATACTTAAACCTATTATTTGTGATCAGCTATACAACAAAATATTCAGTTTCACCAAAGCTTGTTTCTCTTGTTTGACGCTTGTTTAGTGTCAGTCTGGCATTCAAATGAGTTGCTATTGGAGCCGGACGGCGCTGCAGGTTAAAGTTTTTGGTGAGTTCCTGAAATGCACCTGTACTCTTTGGTGTACTCAAAATCCTGCTTGTTATGAGCAGGCTTGAGGAAGTTACACTCAATCACTCCGATGACCCCGACCCCTGACCTTTGACCTGACGACTGAAGGAGAGAGATGGGAAGTGAAACACGATGATACTTGAACCAAATGCAGTTATTGTTTACGTCATCTGGAGTAAGTTATAACCAGGCCCAGACAGAATCTATTATAGTTTTCTGCATTTTCTGCTGATTTTGTGGAGATTTCTGTGGAATAGATAACAATAACATGAAATACATGTGCAGATTATGTGTGGACCTGCTTATATCTCGGTTCCTCACATGAATGGATCCAGTACCTTGACTTGGAAGCCAACTTTCTCATGGGCCTTTATCAGTCTGTTTTTATGGTACATCATAATTCCATAGTGCTCCTTATTTTTCTGGGTGAATCCAAAGGTTATCTTCACTCTCTCATTCTGAGAGTCATGTTTAAAGAAAACACTCTTGAGTCAAAACGAGTTTGACTAGGGGATTATGGGAAAAAAACATAGCAATAATTAATAGTAATCAGTTAATTTCAAAAACCTGCTGTGGAAGAAAAACACAGAAACAGCTAGTGCAGGCAGGTTTATTACAGTTAACTACAAACATAAAAAATTGTTACTTAAAATAAATGTTAACTCATATTAAAATAAATTAGTGGCCAAATTGAACATTTCACATTTTCATTCAGTTTAACCTGATGTACTTGAATAACTAAAACTAAAACTGAAATACATTTAAATGAAAAAAAAAAAACGATAAAAATGTTTAAATTTTAACTAAGTGGAAAAATATAACAAAAATGAATTCAAAATATTAATAAATACATCTTTTTAAAAAAATAAAAAAGACAAAAACACAGATTACTAAAAAATCATTAAAATTAAAATTACAAAGAAAAATATGAAAATAAAAAATATTTCAAAAACAGAATTAAATTATTTAATAAAAATAACAAAAATGTAAATAAAAACAAAAAATACAAAACAAAAAACTTTGAGGCAAGTAGAAGGATACGATGAACTGGGGTTTATAGACATCATTCTCGATCATGGACAGACTCTTGGCAATCAGCTTAGTCTGAACTTTCTTCTGTCTCAAAATGATCTGAATCCTGGGCTTCAGGTAAAGGATACTGAGATACGCCTGGAATGGCAGACAGAGAAATTACATTTGTGTTGGTGTTTATTTTTCCAGTTAATTTTCAACTTTTTTCCATTTAATTCAAGGGCACATATCAAACTGTCCTTGATTGAGATAAAACATATTCAAAAGTTCCTCCCCAGACCAAAAAAATAGCATTTATAGCTGCAAAAATGTCCAGTAACATTTAGACATTAGTATTTGGCATACATATGATGTATTTTTGTAGGCCAAAACCCATAAACAAGCATTTTAGCTCTTCCGGTTCCATCGTGCTGAATTCAATGGGTTTTTGAACAAGTTTTTGGTTAAACGCCTGAAACGCAATGTCACCGAACAGGTATAGCGGTACAGCCTCATTGTGTTTACAGTCACACTCTTTCAAACTATTCAGGTAAACTCAAACTTTCAGGTAAAATGTTTTTTAAGTAAAGTCTTAAAGAGTTAACAATGGTGACATTGAAGTCATGTGACCGTGGTGTAGTTCACTTATAGCCTATGTTTAGCATTTTAATTCTGGCAATCTGTATTTAGTCTTCAAAATTCATATAAATTGTGTTAATTTGTGAAGATTATCATGATGAATCATAAACTTTTGTTGGCCTCAGAGCTTATTTTCTGCAATAATCCAAAAGCCAATGGAAAATTCTACTGGGGTTTTGTTGAGGGAATCAGGCTGATGCTAATACATATATGCATTTTTTAATTTAAAATAAAAAATTTTTAAATAACATTTTGTACCTCAGTGGAAAAAGTAAATAATAAAAAAGTCTATGATTTGAAGACTGTATCTCTGACAGTTTCTGATCTTTATCTCTGCACCACAAAGTTACTTTAGAGTCTCAAATTCACCAGTTCACACTGCGGCACTGAATTATCATTCTCTCAGCTCCACCTAAAATTCACACACACACACACACACACACACACACACACACACACACACACACACACACA